GATTACCACAAGATATTATATCGAATAGGGGGACTCAATTTGTATCAAGATTTTGGAAAATCCTATTCAAGATTCTAAAGGTAGATATAAAGTTCTCTTTGGTTTTTCATCCTCAAATTGATGGGCAAATAAAATAGATGAATTAAGTTCTGGAGGAGTATTTGAGGTGTACCATCAACTATCACCAAGATGATTAGATAACTTTTTTGCCATTGGTAAAGTTTACATACAATAATTTGATACATTCTTTTACTCAACAAATATCTTTCTTTGCTAATTATGGTTATCATCTACAACTTCATATTTTTGAATTTTTCAAAAGTTGATAATCTTATGACATAAGATTCAATAAATTATTTGTCAAAGATACATGCAACAATGAAGATACAATTAAAGGAAGTTCAAGAACGAAAATAGACCAATATAGATGCCTATCGCAAGGAAAAACCACAATTCAATGTAGGTAATAAGGTATGGTTACTTCATCGCAATATCAAGACTACTTGTCCTTGAGATAAGTTGGACTATTGTAGGCTAGAACCTTTTCCTATTTGTAAAAAAATCAATCTTGTTGCTTATCGATTACAACTATCGGAGTCTATGAAGATCCACAATATATTTTACTTGTCTAATCTTAAGCCGTATAAGATAGTGAATATCTTGAAAAGAAGACAAATGCCACCTCTTCCTATAGAAGTGGATAATAATCAAGAGTTTGAGGTAGAAGAAGTTTTAGATTCAAGGCAGCGTCAAAATAGTTTGGAATATCTTTGTTGTTCTTGTTGTGTTCAAGTTTTAGTATACCAAAGTAATTGAACTAATAGAGGTGGATTCGAATACGGAGAAAGTCTGGTTATATGAATTGGGTCTATTAGTGTCACAATTGACTGTACTCTGGCTATCTAAAATCAATTATCAAATTACAAAATACCAAGGCTAACTACTTCCATCTTAATTCAACACATAATTTATTCTATGACTATCAATTCAACAATACTTCCATATTCTTATCAGTTCATCTACCGCTTACTCTCTTTCGGTTGTTATATATTCAATTACTAATCTCCAACTTATCTATTGTATTCAGTTTCTCAATTCATCACATAGAATTCAATATCTCGACTTACGACTCTCGCAGTCTGCCTCTTGGCTTACGACTCTCAGTCTGGCCCTGATCTCTCTTTCTTCAACCTCTTTATCCTACCAAAAAGATAATCCATTAGCTAGCAGATTCCAAAGATTATGACCCTTTGAATTATTAACCATTTATTCCACTAACAATCTACTGTTATCAACTAAACTGCCTAGCCATCAGTCTAATTCTCAAGGTTATCAATAACCAATCAGTAACTTACCACAAAGTTTATTTACCTATTCTACAATTTTATTCATTGGTGTGAATATGATATTGGCGAATATACATGGCAGCCAGTAAAGAATCTTACAAATGCAATAAAGAAATTTCAAGCCTTTTACCAATGATATCCATCAAAACCAAGATAAAAAATTACAAAGATCCATAAAAGATGATAACCACTCCTCGTAGAACTTGTCCCTAAAAGAAGGGGATAATATTATGGATATACACATTTATCCCAATAATTACTTATATGATTAGATAGAAGTAGATATACATACATTAATTATATAAAGTCTTTTAGAGAAGCTTCTTAGAAGCTTTATAGACGTGGTTTTGACTTTAGATGTATTTGTAGGATAGAAACTTCGCCAACAAGTTAATCACATGTTGGTAGCTTGTGGAACAAGTTAATTATGTGTAGTAGCTTATAAAACAAGATAATTATGTGGTGCATACATAGATAACTTGCCTTGCACATTAAAACATGTGGTTAACAAAGTTAACACATGTTGGAGGTCCTAAAGAATATAACCACATAACTTCTAGTTAGAAAGTATATATGGAGGCAAGACTGAAGCCTTCTTCACTCTTGTCAATGCCTTTCTAGTCCTTAGTCTTGTTTCAAGACTTTGTAATCTTCTTGTTTTTGGCAATAGCCATTCTAGTTCAATTTTATATCAACTTTGAGTGATTTTCTAATTTCTTTCAATACTATAAGAGTGTGTTGAGGATTTTCTTCCTTTGAGATTCATGTCCTTGATAAGTTGGAGGTAAAAATATATAGATCATATTTATTATTCAAATGGAATTTAATTCATTTTAATTATTTTTATAATATAAAAAATAATTAATCATTTTATGAGATAAAAAGTTGCTAAAAGAATTTATTGTAGATACTTAGATAGTAATTTAGTAAAATTAATTAAGATATATGAATATAAATTAAGTTAATTATATACAAATATATATATATATAAAAGATTGATAGATTTTTTTAGAAATATGTAAAGGTTGTTTTGAGATGACTTCATTTTTTTGACAAACATAAAGAATTTATAGCATATAAATTTATTGAAAATTGGTTGTGGATCTACAAATAAAATATTATAGTTATATAATTATAGTTGTATTAGATATATGTTATAAACTTGAGCTTAATCAAATAGTACATTTAAAGTTTATTAGAATTAAAGTATATTGAAATCTTAGAAATTAGAATTTGAAGGGCTAATAAAGGTTTTTAAGATTTACAAAAAATTATTGATTAGATCAAGGTAAACTTTTGCATATTAGTAGTAGACTTAATTATCTACAACTAAAAACTTTTGAAAGCAATTAGACAATAGAGTGAAGAGATATTGAAGTTGGAAGAATGGAATTAAGATTGGAAAAGAAAGCCTACCAACATTCAAGCAAATTATGAAGATTATCTCTTATTTTATATCTTCAATCTTCTTTTAAAAAAAATGTACCTATTCTTAATTAATAGATTGGAATTTATAAAAAACTTAAGTTGAAATAAATAATAATTTTATTAATTATTTAGATTTTATTTTGCTGTAAGATTTAATGAGGATTTACTAATAATTTTGCTATAGTTTGAATAGAATTTTTTTTAAGATTTAGAATTTTTTATGGTTTGATTAAAATTTGTTTAAGGATTGTTTAGTATTTTAATAGGATTTCATTAAGATTTGATTATGATTCATTCAAAGTTTTATTTTTAATATTTTTAAAGATTTTTATCTTTAATATTTCTTTAAAATTTCTTTTTTATTTCTTTATGATATATTTATTAATTATTTAGGATTTTTTAGAAATTATTTAAGATTATTTTTGTATTTTTTTAGTAATTACTTAAAGACTTCATTTGGATTTTATTAAGGTTTAATTAGAGATTATTTAAGATTCTATAAGAGTAACATATTTAATGTTAAGTCTATATCTATAAAGCTTTTAAAAAGCTTGTCCACAAGATACCATCAAATGTACCTTAATTTCTACCTAATACTACTTATCTAAGTAATTATGTGTGTTTGTAATAGGGTGCTACTGAAGAATTTCTTAAAGTTTTAAATGCTTATCTGAATATAAATATAGCAATTATAGAAGATAGTACTAATAATAAAAATTATTATTCTATTAAGTATTTAAATAAATTAAATCCACCTAAATTTTCATTGTTTGATTTTGAACTGAAGATCCAATGTCATATTATGTTGTTGTAAAATATTGCTTTATATTTAAAGATTTTATAATGGATTACACTTAGTTATTACATAATTGACTTATTAAGTTTTAGAAATAAGATTGCTATCTAGGGACTACAAGGGATAATTGGCTTTTCTATTGACAATTACATTATGCCTATCATTTACAAAGATTTTATTCAAGTTGTAACTAAGGCAGTTTTTAATAAAGGTGACATTTGCATTAATCATTAATAAATTCTAAAAAAAATAAATAAAGAGCTTAAGAATAGATCTTAGAACCTCTATATTGGCACATGCATAGTTATATGTTGTCCTTTCATATTACACTTCTTCAAATATGATCAAGATCCTCTATTTTGAAGATAATGAAGACATAAAATACCATTATAAATGTAATTTATCCAAAAATAATTTAACTTAGTTATTTAAGTTGTTGTAGTAAATTAAGATTTAATTTGCCAATAACTCTAAAAAAACATAAATAGTTTTGTTGTTACGCATATATATATATATATATATATATATATGAGTTCTTTTCCTTATTGAAATTTCTTTAAAAGTAGTCAAATTTTTACTCAAAAATCTCAAATTAAAATTTTATAATTCTTTTGTGTCTAACAGCACAAATTTTTGATGCATGGAATATGTGTGTGTATATATTTTTGTATGTGTGTGTGTTTTAAATCATAATTGATTTTAAAACAGTAAAGATGTTTGCCTCTTGTAGAAAAAAGAGATTAGTGTATTTGTTTTAAGTCTCTTATATACAAATTCAAACAACTTTTATGTTTTGTTTTGTTTTATTTTTATTTTTTCCTTGAAGAATTCCATGCATTTTATGATTGAAGAAAATCACAAAATAATTCTAAAAAGTTTGTTTTCTTTATAGTGTGACATTATTTTATTGTGCAGACTATGTTAAATATAAGATATTTAAATTTTTTTTTCATTTTACAAGACCATTTAATAAAATAAACTAGAAAATCTACCATTTTTATTTTTTTATTTTTTTTCGAAAACCTCCAAATTTGAAACTAAGACTGTCTCATTAAGATAAATAATAAATCTTACTGTTTAATTTAAAAGAATGTTATTTAACAACTTGTGAATCGAATAATGCATTCTATGACAAATTTCAATTGCTTTAGATTAAGTATTTATCGTAGAAAAATATAAAGTTAAGAGTATTGCAAGTATTATTACAAAAATAAATTATAAATCATATATCACCATACTTGTGATAACTAATAAGCAACTTTTTATTCTGTAACTTGTAACAAAAAAATCCTGATTCCAACGAACACAGTTCTCATCCACCATCGCTCTTGTTCATCCACCACAAACAGATAAAGACATTCATCAAAAAGCTATAATCCACAACGAATGACACCCACCCTGACATTAATTCATCCATTCAAGTGACGAGAATGCGGTCAGAGTGAGGGCGTGTGTGTACGTGTGCTACTACTGGCACAGTGGCCGAGGCTCCTTCTCGCTCGCTCGCGTGTTGGTGCTCGTCAATTCTTCCACAGCATCCCGACGCGCTGGTAATGCTCCCATTGTGACCTCCTGCTAAAGGGGGGCATTCGGATATACTGCATGCTTGCGATACCAGCACTTGAAGAGAAGAGAAGAGAGTGTACGGGGGTTGTTGTTGTCGTTGTTGTTGCTGCCACAGGAGAGAGCAGCATCCCTCTATAGGATTTCGCCGGATGATTTGAAGGGGTGATTCGTAGAGTGTGAGTCTCGGATGTGACCTACAATGTTCGGAGGAGAATTGTAGGGAGGAAGTGTGTTTTTGGGGATTAGATTCGAAGTGGGTCGATCTGTATACCCTGATTTATTTTTTATTTTTATTTTTGTTGTTGTTGTCATGGAGATCGCAGTGGCGGGGCGAACCTCCTCCCGCGTTAGGCCGCCTCGCCCAGCGCTTGAATCCAGCAAGTTTTCTTATAGCAGCCAGGGCGTGTCGCAGAGTTCGAGTTGTGGGTGGGTGGCCTCGTCGCTTATCGGATCCAATGTGTGCATTACGCCGTCGACGCCCTTGATGGACCTCAGTCTGCCTGTTCCTCGCAGTCGTTCTATTCAGGTTGGAATCTTTGTTTTTTGGGTTCGTTTTGCAAATTGCAGGGTCTTTGGGAGTGGGATTGATGTTTAGAAATAGAGCGATGGAAACAGGCCGTCGAGGGATTTTTACATGAAGATGGAAGGGTGCACACTGAAGAGGATGGTTTCTTCTGGGTACCACATGTGCGGTAACTTTGCAACTGGGACTGCGGATTGGCATGCGTGTTGATAGTGTTAAAATTCTTGGGCGTTGAGGGCTGCGATCTCAAGTATTTGAGCCAACTCTGTCAAACTACGAGGTAGGGCTTCCTAACCTTGAGAATCCATCACGAGAGTGAGCGGGACCTTTGGGATCGCATGTAGTACGAAGAATCAAAATTCTGTTGAAGTGTAACAGGAATCGTTTGATGACGCGCAATATCCCTTGTATTCTTACATCACCACGCTAAAAATTACTTGAACACGTCAAAATTAGGTTGAAGATATAGTGAATTTGACAATATCAAAATTTATAACAACACAAATGCAAAAACAAAAGATTCGTTGATTCTGCTTAATTTGATGTGCAAGTTCATTGTGGAGTTGTCCCGGTTTTTGTTGTTAGCAATGGTTTGGTAATCGTTTCTGGTGTGGTACAGCATATGGACAGTGGACCTAGCTCACCTGTTGCGGCATTTCAAAGTTGATGTGGTGTTTCTAACTGTTACAATTGGAGCAAATCCAAGTTTTGCAGTCGAAACTTTTTACCAGGTGAGTTGATCTGCTTTAGTGGTTTGCGAATCAATACAACAATTCTACAAGTAATCGACGCGTTCTCTCATTGTTGTATTAATCCGATGTCTGACTGTTGTGCTCAAGTGAGAGTGCTCGTATTTCAGTTGATTTTGTTCCGTCTTCATGCGTCGTAATATAGATGTGTCATGTATTTATGGGTGCAGACAAACATGGAAGAAGATGGGGAACGTGTGAACATGCTCTTTGCGAAGGCCCCTCAAGTTGGCATCCGAGTGCAGGTATATTACTCACCTGTCTTGTATGGTAAGTTTCTGCCGTGCAATCCTTGAGGTGCATCTTCTCATTTTGGATTGTTACGTCGGTTTTTTCTTTGGTACAGTGGAGATCAATAACTGGTGAAGAACTTTCGCTGCTGATATTATCCGGTGGATTTTTGGCCATCATTTTGGTTGACAAGCGCAAGCTTAGGTACTTGACTTGGCCACATGTTCATATTTGAATAAAACTTGCTTTTAATGTCATCATAACAAGAAGTCTGTTAGGACTAATTGTTTCGCATGAAACTTCTTCGAATCAGGCGATGCACAATGTTGTGGAATATGGGGTGGTGTACCCTCAAGTTTCAACATGAATTTATGTGGTTGCGTTTGTTGATGCTTATGCAGTCATCCATGGTTAGATGAGATTTGCCTCGCAGACTGCTGTGGTCTCAATACAGGATATACCGGTAAGTCCCTTTTTGAGGCAGTTTGTATTGCTTTAATTTATCATGTAATGTCCGTTAGTGCTCTAGAACAAAGGTTGCTGGTGCAAACGTAAACGTGGGTGCTGCAGGCCATTACGTGGTCATATGTGGATATGACATGGACAGTGACGAGTTTGAGATTCAAGACCCAGCCAGCGGGAGGTAATTTTTAGCTCTCGCAGTAGTGTCAGACTTCGTTGAAATCGGCTCTTTCAAGCTCTTTGTTCGGTTAATTGCTTGCTGATTGGGCTTTCTTACCTTCATGACACAAGTGGGAGGATTTCGTTGGATGCGTTGGATGAAGCTCGCAGAGCTTTTGGCACGGACGAGGATATCCTTCTGGTATGGTATCTGTTCTTTCACCTCACTCACTATTCAGAAATGCGGATCCAGACGTGGAAATGGAGAAGAGTGGGAAGAGCTCCCGCCTAAGTTAACCCTTTTTTCTTTTCTTTTCTTTTCTTTTTTTCTTTTTTTTTTCCTCTGACAAGTTCGTTCCATTAGACATGAATTATTCATTATTTGCTTCTCCTGATGCAGATATCACTGAACCAGACTAAGCGAGACTCTTTACCACTAGGCAGGCGTACATTGAATTGTTCTCAGAAAACCTTGTAGCATTTTAATGCCCCTGGACTTGCACAGTGAGAGAGAATTAATTACGCGTGAATCTTAGGATAGAGTGTGTTCCACTTATGTGTAACTTTTGTTTTTGGAAGCAGTCTTTGGTCTCAAGCAAATTCAACTCCAGTTGCTCTGCACATACCCGATAGCCAGTTTCTTCGTACATTCCCATATATACATTTCAACTTCATGTTAATTCATACCTTTAAATTGTATTCAAATTTTTGTGTAGATTATATAAATATTTTAAGGAGGAGTGCAACGCATCTGCTCCCGGGGCCTGATGGATAAGGCTTCTGACTTCTAATCAGGGGATTGTGGGACCGAGTCCTACTGGGAGTGCTCATTGAAAATGGTACCTCACAAAAATTTGAAACGAATTTTGGTTGCTTTGTGAGGTAATTTTTTTTTTGTACTAAATCATGTTAATGATAAAATGTTTGCAAATTTTAGGATGGAATAATGTTATTTTAAACTTCCAAATAAACCAATGTTATGAGCCTTCACTTCTTAGTAACTCAATATTATGTTAGATGCTATGTATGATTGTTAAGTGACATCCAAATTACTGTACAAATTAATAATTTAGTTCCCACTACATTTTAATATGTATTCAACCAAATCTCTTACAATATTCTTGTCCTATAATTGCATGTGATTGGAGCCTAATATGTGTATCAATCCTTAAATATTAATTTACTCTTTTAGAATACATTCTATTCAATAAATCTTATCCTAAATAAGTATACTTAATTCAAATTTTAAATCCTAGCAAGATAAATCTTAGTAATTTAGAAAGAATCTAGATTTTTTTTGAATCTATTTTTATAAATATTCAATAACTTTATCAAATCCTAAGCAATTCTAAATGTAAACAAATCTTAATATTAATAATGTCAAATAAATTCCAACAAACTCTAAACAAATCTTGATTCATATATATATTTTTTTTGGAATTCAAAATATTATATATATAATAAAAATAAGCCATTAATTATACATTTATAAATATATACTTAATTATAAATTAAAGTATTATTTTTCTCTTCTTATTAGAAGTAAAACTTTTGATTTTGACCATGAAGTGTTTTATTCTTATTCTTTGTTACCTATCAATAGAATTTTAGATAAAGTCTATATCTCTTTTGGCTATTCAATATCAATAAATCTATCTCAATGGCTTTGGACTTTCTATTGAATCATCAATTGCTTGTTGTCATCATCATTTGTGACAAGCTTTGTTGGAATCATATAAATAATAATTTATTGATGCTTACAATTATTTTTTGTATACATATTGTTTTCACTAATGTTATTGGGTATATGCTTGAAATCTCTACATTTTTTTACTACAATATGTTTGTTTTTTAGAGATTAAGAATAAATAGAACAAAAGTTTTCTTTAAGTTTTTTTTGATAAATGGATTTTGTTTGTGATAAAAGATTGACTTATATACTATACAAAATTTTACTTTTTCTTGCAATTGCACAATTTTTTGTATTTCAAATTCACTTTTAATTATCTAAGTTGATATATTTTACAACATACTTTAAATGCTACTATAGTTGTATGAATCATAACAATTAATGTATTTCTAGATTTCTAATCTTTAATCTATATTATTCACTTAAATCTAGACTTTCTTTTGCTCTATATAGTATGCAAGTAGACATTTTTTTTTTTCATCCCACACAAATGATACAAGTTATACAAATTAATGCATAGAAGAAGACAAGGAGGATATTTTTTCTAAAAATAGCAATTACTCTAGTAATTATTGCAATTCCACCTTCCATCTTTCTTTTTACTTTCATGTCGTTTCTAACTTTCTCAATTGCCTTACCAAAAAAAAATCTTTATTTTTGCACTTCTTTTTGTTGATCCAAAGTAAATCTATTTGGTCCTTCTAGAGATATTCTACTACTTATCTAAAATCAATGTGTTATTCCAAAAGCTCCAAAACATCATCGGATACAACATATACATACTATGTATTATGTACATATACTTTGACAAAAGATGATAGTTGGCAATTTTCTTTTTCTTTTAATTTCTAACTACTTGGCTTATTATATTGCTTGCTTTTCGTTGTAATAAACAAAGTCCAACGACAATTTTTTGGCTTGTAAGACAATTCCTTATTGTTATAATCTCTTTACAAATTTTACTTCTTAAATTTTACATGATATTATATTATATATTCTCTTTATTACACAATAACATTTTTTTTGTTAATTGAAGGCCAACAATTGATCTTTTTACATTATTAAAATATATGATCAGCAAAATCAATAATAACTATCTTTAAGAATAATACTACTCAACTCAACTTGCAAACAACACCTCATTTTAAAAAAATATTACTAATAAAATACTTATTTTCTTGTATTATCTACTAATAAGTAAGAAAAAAAATCTATTATAATTTCTTTGATAAAATTGAAAAAATAAAATATAAAAAATATATAAATATAAAAAAATACTTGAAAATATTTTACTTGTTAAATCAAAAATTGGTTGTTGTATGTAATAATTACACCATAATATTATATATATATATATATATATATATATATATATACATACATATACACACATGTTATAATATCTCTAATCTAATTATAAAAAAATATTATAGTATAAAATTGAGTATTTTACAAAAATTAAGGTATTTTTAAATAGATTAAAATAATTTGAATATAAAATTATTTTAGTATCAGTTGTAAAAATTAAAATCTAGGTTGGAAGATTTTAGCTTTAGTTTTTGGAATTGAATATTTTATTGAGCCAAGTGTGACAATAAAAGTGTGCTTTTGAGTCCTTTGCTATAAAAAATGACTTTATCAACTATCTCAATAAAAATAAATCTAATTTTAAAAAATAAATCTTATATTTTTAATCTTAAATGATTGACCACAATTATTTGGTTGAACAATTCTAATGTCAAATGTATGAAAGAATAATCATTATTTTTTTGTATGTAAGTTTTTTTAAATCATAAAAATATTTATTTACTAATATATTTTTTTATATTATCTAAATCTTACTAATAGTCAAATAAAATAGAAAATTAAATATTATTTTTTTTGCACTTGATTAATCATTTGATTAAAGAAATAATGCTTAGTATCACGAACATACTCATGTAAGCCAATAATTACTTATATAAATAAGTAGAAGTAAGTAAAAATAGATAAAAATAAGTTGATTCTATACTATTTGGTATGGAAGCTTCCTAAAAGCTTTATAGACACTGCTTTAACTTTATATGTGTCTTTAATTGACTTTTTGGATTAGAAACATGGTCAAACAAGTTGGCCATGTGCCACACATGTTGTTAGCTTGAAGACCAAGCTAACTATGTGGCCTACACATAGAAAAACTTGCCTTGTAAGTCAAGGCATGTGTCCTACAAAGTCAACACATATTGGAGGTCCTATAGAACGTCGCCATATAGCCCTTAGTTAGATAGTATATATAGAGACAAGAGTGAAGCCTTCTTCACTCTTCTCAACTCCTTTCTTGCTTTTAGTCTAGTTTCAAGGGTCTCTAGTTTTCTTGGCTTTAGGCAATAGCCATTCCAATTTCTTTCCTAATATATATATATATATATATATATCAAGTTATTTTTATTTTGTCATCTTTCTTTGAGAGAAGTTTCACTTATTTATTTGTCTTTATCATGTTCTTGTCCTTGACAAATTGACAAGAATACACTTACAATATCAAAGCTTTGTCTAATCTTGATTAAGAGTGGCTTATCCCCTTTTTTTGATAAGATATAAGCATATTAGAAGTTGCCGATTACCCTCTTCTAAACTAATATTGTCTTTAGTATTTTCTTTATTCTCAAGTCCTCTCTTTTATTTGTTTTGAGCAATATTAGACATCTTCTCTTTTCTAAGTGTTATCATGGCAGAACTTACTGAAATGAAGAATGCAATGGCACAAATGTAAGAGCAATTAAAGGAGTTAATGCTTACGATGCATCAATTCAATTTACCACCACAAAGAGCAATAAGATTGGGAGGAAGTGAAGATATAGAAATGATTGGACCTGCTTCAACATCTACACCAAATCGTATTCCTTTTTCTATGGTAGAATACCTTTCTAATATTACAGAACCAAGAATTGTCATATCCAAGAAGTTTGATGGCACCAAATCAAAGTTTAGAGGATTTATCAATCAATTACAACTTGTGATTGAACTTCAACCCCAAAGCTATCCAATTCCAGGATCGCAAGTTAGATTCATTGGTACGCTTCTTTCAGGTTCAACAATATCGTGGTTTTTATCTTTTCTTGAACGACAAGATCTAATATTGGATAATCTAGAGGCTTTTTTGGCAAAGTTTTGATCCATGTATGGAGAACATGATGCAATTCGTGTTGCAACCAATAAGATCCATATTTTATGACAAGGTAATCAATCAGTAACGATGTATGCTTTACAATTTTGACAACTTGCAACTGATATCAAGTGGGATGATGCAATTATTAGTCAATTTTTCTACGGATTACAATATGAGATAAAAAAATTAATGCTCAACTTACCTGATCCTCAAACATTGAGTCAAGCAATCGACTTTGCTGTGAAGTTTGACAATCATCTTTTTGAATTCCGATATGAGAACCATACAAGTGGACCTGAACGTAATTATAATTCAATGGCAACACATACATTCGGAAGTAGAAGATATGCAAATTGATGCAGTATGTTTCAAACTTCTTACTGAGCAAGAAAAGATTCATCGTCATCAAGAAGGATTGTGCTTATATTGTGGAGAACCTAAACACACTACTCAACATTGTCTAAAGAAGCGACGCAACCATAAAATGAGGAGTACGGTGATCAAATGAGATAGCATGTCAAAAATTGAATTTGTCCAGCTACAATAGGGACCGTGTGGTTGGAACCTTATACAACACCTAGTGAAGGTCCTATCCTCTCTTCATAACCCTCTCCATGTTTTACGATAAATGTTATTCTAGGACCTAAACATCTCAAAGCCTCTGCCTTGTTAGATTCAGGAGCCTCAACATGTTTCTTAGATGAAAAAATTGCTAAAAGACATAGCATATTTTTAGTAAAGAAAACTAAACCTGTTCATGTAGAAGTCAAAGATGGTCGTCCATTGTCTTTAGGAGATGTTACTCATGAAACCCTTCCTATAGAAATAGCAACTAATGGTCATAGTAGCTTTATAATATTTAATATCATTAGATCTCCTTCTAATCTAATTATTTTAGGTTTATCATGGCTAGAAAAATATAATCCTAAAATAGATTGGACTTCTCGTAGTCTT